GTAATATAACTATTTGTTATTTTGGATTTGCTTTTACTGATTTCATCTATCGTTTTTTTATCGTGTAGTTGATGGTTAGGGACACCGATCAAGAGTTCCGAACGGTGAGAAACAGAAGGAGTGCGCGCATAACAAGCCTCGTACAGGCAATACAAAAATCATAAAGGAAAAAAATATAATATAAGCAGAGTATAATAAATGATAAAGGCAACATCAATCTTGTTATTATTACATTTGCAATTTTCATAATACATAGAGAATGTTAATACATTCAAAAAGATTTTTATCATGTATAATTATGCGATTTTGATGTTACCCATTTTGTTAAATATAACAAGCTTACTTTTGCCGTTCAAATTTTCCAGAACGAAAAATTCTCGATCATATATAGCATTGATATCAACACACAAATCTTAATATCTTTGTCATAAATTCCAGAAATACATGATCATCTATATTTACCCGATTTGATAAAATACACGTAAAAATTGATTATGAAGAATCGGCTGGAGATGACTACACATCCGATTGGATGGACCGTGATTCTACTTACCTTTACTTCAATTGTAGAACGTAGTCGATTTAGCGAACGATATACATCTATCACAATTCCAACCCAGGTATTAATCGTAAAACATCGACCCGAATTCCCCAATAATATCATGTTAGGGTTGGATTGGTTCACCGGTCGAAAATATGATGATGAAAAGCTCCAGACATATAGAGCAGAAATTGTAACTGACGCGGAGGATGGTTGGGTAAGGACAACTCTTCGTATCAAAAATCTTGCCGGAGGGAAAGGAAATCCATAGTAGTACCTGTGTATAAATTTGATAATGAGTCGGGTTCTTCTGATTCTCGCTTACAGCAAAATAAAAGCAAGAAAAATAAGGACAAGTATTCCATTATAGAATCGGAACCAGATACTAATTCTGATACTTCTGAATCGAGCACTCCTTCTAGTTCGGGATCAGAAGATAAGCACATATATAAAACTGTGGCTGTTATACATCCGAAGCGATGTCGCAAAGTAAAAAAGAAAAATTAATAGACACATCGTAACTGCGAAATCACATCACGTTATAATGGGCGATGTCATGTGTTTTAAATCCGCGAATCAGAGATCGGCATAGAAATTCTTTCAACACAATAAAATAATTCGGCCAAATAATGGATGCAAAATATTACACTGAGATATTAAAAATGCATCTACCAGAGGTAAGGAGCATGCTGAAAGGCAAATGGCGACTGCAGAAAGACAACGATCCTAAAAACGTAAACCTAAAAATCTCAGTGAATTAGAGAAATTTTTGGTCTAAGAGTGGAATAATTAATATCCAAGAGACCTTCTGTCAGTTTGGTAGATTCAATGAAACAACGTTGTAGAGAGGTTGTTGAAAAAAGGGGTGAACGAATATCATATTAATTCATGGTAATAAAATCTACTGCTTTCAAGCTTCAAAATGACATATTATACGTATCTATTAGTTTGCTCGTTGTAAAGCCAGGGCAGTTTAAACAATTGTCATTTTTTTGCACACCACCTAATATTGGAATATGAAGTCGGAACGGAATTTCGTATTGGCAAATCTTACAACAGAGACGCACCACTGCTTTGGGTTTAAAGCGATCCGTTTGGTATATATGAAATAACTACCATCTCCCAAGGGCCAAGACTGTTTTAATCTGGGAATTATCAAGTTACTCGAATTTGAATTCACTGAACCAGATAATTAATAATTGCTATGTATTTAATCACAATAAAACAAACACCACTTTCTCAAACCATTTATTGTTCAAAGTTCATATCACATTCTCTCACGATAATCAAGGAGTATCTCCCTGAAACAGCTGGCTTGTATCAATACTGAGACGCCATTTGCTGACAAGCTTTCAGATTCTCCAGGTACCACTGACAGAGGTTGATATCATGGTTGTTTTGTTGTAAACATTTAGTGAGAGCTTTGGCGTCTGTTTCGCACGCAGTCTGATTACGCATATCGTTATTGTCAAATGAATGGTATTGTTCCTAATTGGAGAAGGAGGTCAAGCACGATGTATAGTAACGATACAGAAGCAAAGATTATCCGCATACTACAGAGCGTTAATATACCTGGTTTTGTGGTTGCGGCGTATATTGACCTTGGGTCTGTTCAGGCGCTGGAGCTGACTCGTCTCTTCCACCAAAGAGACCACTAATACCAGCACCCTATTTATAGTTATATGAGAAACAAGTTATACAGGAAAAAAAAGTTTCAATGTAAAAAGGTCTTACAAGAGTATGTCCAATCGTAGATCCAACAGCTACACCAGCAGCGGTTGAAGCCATCTGTGGGGGGAAAAAAAAGCACGTTAAAATCAACATTTGAAATCAATAGTTGCTTGAATCTATGACTCTATCCTCGCATCCTGGTCATCTTCCCATTTACCTGTCCAAACAATCCAGGTTGCTTTTGTTCTCCCACTATGGGTGGCTTTTGTTGAGTATTAGCTGGCACTTGTGGTCGTTGATCGTGTGTTGGTACAGGACGTGGCGGTTGAGGCGATGCTCGTGGTTGTCGCGTGGAGGGCGGAGAACTTAGAGTGGAGGCTTGACGACGCGGTTGTGCCCTTGCAGGCGCCGAGCGAGTTTGACGACGTGCCATTTTGTGACTAATTGGAATGTTGCAGACGGGGAAAAGTGAAGATGGATTTTGTGCAGATCTAAAAAACTATCTCGAGTCACGTGGAAAATTATTTTCTGAATATCAAACAAATCACATGATTCGGTTTTTATCATCATCGCTGAAAGACAATGACGGAAAAACCGAACGAGTATTTAGAGATTAATTCAGAGAATGAGATGCTTGGTAAGTTATTATAGCTGCCGCACTTAACAGTTAATTGCGTACCGAATTATCTACTTTAAGATATCACACTCGTTGTTTGCTGATATTTACTTTAGTTGAGTTAGTCGCTGGAAAACAAGCCAGTATAAATAACGATGGTTCAAGTCGGAAGAATGAGCCACCGAAGACATACAGAATTGAACTTCCTACAGACCGCATGTATCTACTTTTATGCTTTTAGTGTGCCAGTGAGGAGTTTTTATGCTCAAGTCGCTTTTCAATGATTAGTAATATCAAAGATTCAAGAATTCATACCTAAAATCGCAGCAGCCAACGAACAGCTGTCATCAGTCGATCCGGGTGATCTCGACATAATGAAAATTGGAGAAGATGCAGAGCAAGTTATTGAATATGTACGGAGAATGCAGGGTGCATTATTAAAAGTATCGATACACATTTTATTCAATTCTGTGTGCTTGTTTCATAGGATCTCCTAATATGTCATCCCGAAAACAACTCGACGAACGAAGAGTTTCCCAAATATAAACTTGATACTAACACTATAGATGACGGTGAAGACATAATAATGACCACTGAACCAATAAGTCCAAAACTACGTTCTCGACCAAATATAACAATGCTAGATGACACAGAGGATGTGACTATGAGAATTGATTCTGAATCATCAAGCGCCGTAAACAATTTGCAAGAATAAAATACAATGCACAAATTATTTGGGTGCTGTTTTCTAAATTTAACTTGAGTGATACAAACGTATGAATTTCTATCATTGGTCATATGATACATACCATAAAGCAATTAATTACAGAAATAATAAGGCAGACCCAAAGCCGTTGATGAACATAACCTATTTCTTTGATGTAGCGCAATGCTACAGTACCTCCCATCACACAAGACAATTCTAGTCTATTAATTTTGTGATAATAGTTTCTCCTAACTTAACCTTAACTTTGCTTTCTCTTCCTTGCAGGCATTGTACAGTAAGCGTTCCGAATCGTTGACAAGCATCGCATAAGTCCGTTCTTGGACTCATAATTAACTTGCGAAACGCACCATATTTTAACAATTTCAACGTGCTATTGTTTTCAAGACCCGCGATAAAATCCGAGTTATAACTCATTTCGGCTGGCAAAATGGGTAACGCGACTGACATTTCTACCGGGACTTGGTAATCCATGAACTTAGCATAGTATTCTTCACGGCTTATATTAATTGTTGTTTTAGTTTTCCATCGCGGCACTCATAAACGCGGTATTATATCATTTCTTGCCAGACGTTTTCGAAAGAAGTACGGCCAATTCCTAACATATGGAGATACGTTTCTGACAAAGAGGCGTATTACGATCTCAGTTGTAAAACGTTCGCTTATTAGTACGAGATTCTTTAAGGCATCGGCTGGCAGTTATTTCTCCACCGTTTATTGTTTTTCAGCTGAGCCATTAATATATATATATCTTTTCAGGTAAACTGACAGTTAGTTTCAATAGGTCTTCCGCATGGCGAAAGGAAACTGACGGCATAAGATAAAAAATAAATAATTGATCAAATTTCATCTTGGCATAGTACCGGTATAAGTGGGTCATTTTGGCAGCGTTTCGGTATAGGATTCGTAATTAATTATTAATATTGCGTTATCGAGATAGCACATTGTCTAATATCACACAACCAATAAGCTTGCATCTAATCAACATTGTTATGTGATAATAGCGAAATAAAATGTGCTTATTTCGAACTGATAGAGTTCACTGTTGATTCAAAAAGTCGTAGATCTGCATACAGATAGTGTTCGAAGTTGTCTCTCTTCTATCGAATATTATGGCTTCAGAAAACATGCTAGTATCAGTCCCAACAGAAATCTGGAATACCATATCAAATTTAGTTAGTATTACTACCTGCATAATTCATCAAGCAAGCTTCAAGTTGAAGACTTTGATACAAATGTTTGTTTGTTCGTAGGCAGTCCACGCTAATGTCGTAACCCTTATGAGGGACAGTACTCTTTATCTCTCTTCATTACCATTCGACCTTGGGACTAAAGTCGTAACCCTTATGAGAGACAGTACTCATTATCTCTCTTCATTACCATTCGACTTTGGGACTAAAGTCGTAACCCTTATGAGGGACAGTACTCATTATCTCTCTTCATTACCATTCGTAACCCTTATGAGGGACAGTACTCTTTATCTCTCTTCATTACCATTCGTAACCCTTATGAGGGACAGTATTACTCTTTATCTCTCTTCATTGTCAAATATGGTTAGTATTACTACCTGTATGATTCATCAAGCAAGCTTCGAGTTGAAACAAATAGTTGAAACAAATGATTGTTTGTTCGCAGTCCGCACTAATGTCAGTACTCTTTATCTCTCTTCATTCAACGTTAGAGTTTCTCAACAGAAATCTGGAATAACATGTTAAATATAGTTGGTATTACTGCCTGTATGGTTCAGCTTCAAGTTGAAGACTTTTGATACAAATGTTTGTTTGTTCCCAGGAGTTTTTTCCAATCTGCACCAATGTTGTAACCCTTATACAGAATACCCCTTCACTCTTGGTAGAAAGAGTGTCAAATAAGGTTAGTTGGTCTTACTACTTAATATGATACTATTATACGAGCCTTTAAATTGAATACTGATTCCCAAACTTTTGAATATAAACTTTTGTCCTTTTGTAGCTACATTCTCTAAACCGCACTGAGATTGTAGTCCTTATGCTTAGTGGTGTGATTGTAATAGGAATAGCTTTCCCGGTTGTCGGAGTCAGAATGCTTGGCTTTACGGTTTTAGGTATTAAAAAGGGTTCGATTGCTGCATGGATCATGGCTACTTACCTCGGAAAGGTGACATGCAGAAGCGCTTGCGCTATAATGCAGAGTATCGGCGCACTTGGCCTGAGTGGGTGGAAATTACTGTTTGTAAATGTGGCGCTTTCGGTTATGGTGCTGGTAATACTTAGACGGTGAGTCGAAATGATTTCCTGAATAATAATAATATTCATTTATTCGACTGCGATTGACCTGCCAATATTAATCTCCTAGATATTTGCTCTGTTAATTAAGGGCAATAAATAAACGAGTATAAAAATTTTATATACTATGTCTCAACAAATGGACCAAATATGATTTGTAACCTGTTCAAAAAAAGGTTCTCTCTCCACGCTTTTCGATAACAAGCTCACAACGACTCTCATTGAGTTTACAAGATTTACTATAACAATATCTGGGATACTCCACCATAAATTGCTCCAGTTAATTGATATTTGGCATCCGTTTCTCTACATTATTATAATTACCCCTTCACAATAACCCATAAATTTTCGATAGGTTAAGCTGGATGACCAGTCTGCGATCCTCAGAAAGAAAGGCTTTAGCAAGACAACTTGTATGCATGGGGTCGTTGTCTTAGATGTGAATATCGACGCAATAATAATAAGCGTTGATAAAAATCCGAATCTCGACGGTCACATGACTTTGACCTTGAGTTCTACCTAGCTATAAATACAATTCGATTGTTAGTAACTTTTAATCAGATCTCGCTGTTCACGGTCTATACCAATCTGTAGGCACTAATATGTCACCTTCGAGCTATACGTATACCTCTTCCGTGGAAGTATACTTAGACGAATAGTAATCATCCACCAGGATATTCGAGGGACAAGTGTCAAATATCCTTAATCGGTAGAGAAATTAGTAGTTCGCGCTCTACCGAATAATTACGAGGGAGCGAATTACCAATAATGTATTTCAGTGTATAGAAAGAAATATTAACAAATAAATATTATCGAAACATTAAGTGAACGTAATGAAAACTAAAGGAATATCGAGCTGCTTACATATTTAAAAGTACTGCACTTGATGCGCGTCTAAAATTAATGTGTCTTATTTTATCTTATAGGCAAAGAGCGCAACACCGGAGGAATGCACATCATACTTGACAAGAAAGTGATAAAATGGGATTAGCTATCCACTACATAGTAATAGTGTCATATGGGAGCCATTAGAAATTTGAAGATGCAGCATTATAGGTGAAAGCAACGAGGACATTGCTCTCCTAAAGGAAGGGATAAATGTAACTTTAGTATTAGTAATAAATATTTAGCAGTCACTGGGGAGGTGCTATTAACCAGTATACACATATATCTGGTTTAAAGCTTTAATTAGTAATTGTGCTATTTTACGTTTCGACTACAACATTATTTGGCAAGAGCAAATGAGCACCTTCCCAATCCACTTGTCCACTTACCAAGCTAATGGGAGCGCTCTCTATCGCAAAGGTGATGGGCTAAACATGAGAGTTCTTCTCATTATCGTTTCATTATGGGCTTGAGTGATTTACAATTAAGCATGACACGCCATGTTACGTAGTTAAGACGAATAACAATCGTAATGTCACGAGAATATTTGCGGGACAAGAATCGAATACTCTTAGTTGATATGGGGTTAGTGGTTCAGGCTATATCAATAATAGGTCAACTAAAAAATGGTCTACATCTGCCTCGGGCCAAGCAAAATCAGCCTTCAGCCCTTGCCATGATAATCATTTAATTTGAGAATACAGTTGACGCTGTCTATACCGAACCTGGATATACCAAACTTTGGATATAACGAACCAGAATCGCCAGACTCGATTTTTTCTAATTAATAAATCTGGTTATAACGAACTTTTACTAATAAATCTGTTTATAACGGATCCGAACTACCTTTCGAAATTTTGTATATTATATTTGCTTTTCCTATAACGAACTGTCACATGAGGCATAAAAGATCACGTGTAACATTATGCAGAAATTATTGCTTTAGGAAATCAAAAAGGCAAACTATTGGCATAAAATTATTGTTGTATAGTCCTGGCGTCAATCTTACCAAATTAATATTTTGGTAAGGTTAAATGAGGAAGTAAGAATCCCGAGAAACTTAAATAGACGGATTGGATTAATTATTCAAAAAAAAAAAATTGTTGATATTGAGTAGCTTTATTATGGAAGCTTTATTCTGATAGTATTTTTATTAATTTGCCTACAAGCAGTTGATAAACTCTTTATTCTATTTTCGATCTTGAATGTACTTAAATAAACGTGACAGATTAAAACTAAACCGAAATTTAATACCTATATACTCTTCTATTAACAAGAGTTACCCTAAACCCCATCCCAAATCCCAAAAAAAATTGCCCCCAAAAATTTTTAAATTTTCATATTAAAATAGAGAAAATTTCATTTTAATCCGATTTCGTTTTAATTTGTCACAATAAATGTTGACATAACGGAGCAAGCTCTGTTTATAACGAACTAAAATCCTCCAGCCGGAGCTGCAACTGTATACTATAAATAATACGGGTTCTCGTAATCTTATCGGCGATGAGATTGACCAGAAGTGGAGAAATTAAGTCAGCTGTACCATCGATAATTATAATTAATCGGTCGATTCTTATATACCACCATTATTAGCTCACGTGGTGAATGTTTACTTTGTCTCATGGTGTTTGACTATCACGTTAGTCTTTACCCCTAGTATATTGGCATTATTCAAACTAAGAGGTCTCCTAGCGACGGTTAGGTAGTAATCGAGTAATTCTTCAATAAAGTGTACGGTGGAATTAATCCGAGAGCAAGTTGCAAAGGGGAAAGACTATTTATTGCAAAAAGCGTGCCCGAACGCATTATCGCTGCAGATAGGAGATATAGTAAAATAAGTATTTGTTGCCTGCTTCAAGCAGACGGAAACTCGCTGCGTGTTAAACGTATAATACTTACTTAACTTCCCAAGAGGGCTTTAATTAGCAAAGTAGCTGGTAACTTCTTTATACTACAGGTGTATTTTAACACGTCGAGAAACCATTACTTTAATGCAATTCACTTGTCAGCAATACTCTTTTGTAAATACGACTTCAAAAATTATTTTCATAGCTCGACCATGATTATGTAATTAGATACTCGACGAATATGTAGAAGTTAGAATTAGCTAATCAATTGTGGTTGGCGCCTGAAATTTGAAGCAACACAAAAATATGGTAGATTTCCATATTAATATTACTATTGACATCTCCAAGATAATAATACAAACAAGCACGATAGTTGTTCAGTTAAAGCTCTTAAGTCTTGACCAAAGCGACAATAGCATTTACATTCTTGGAAAAAATTGGTGCCAATCATTTGGCACGTTTACAGAGTTTATTTATATTATAGATTTGTCCTATTGCGATTTGCAGATATACATAATCATAATAATAGAACGTTGTAGATGAACTTGAAGATCTTTCTCAATTCAGGATTTAGTTCAGATTGACAAGTAGAATTCCTCGCTTTTTTTAAAAAACCAGCCTTAGAAGATCGTTGTCTTGTTGAGAACCGCTAACCAATTCTAGTTTCTAGAGAGCTTCGAAAGCTATAGTCAACCTGATTAGGCGAAAGTCAAATATGTGTGGTCACCCCCTGAATCTTGTGACGTTAAATTTCCTGTTACATTAAAATATACATATATATAGCAAAATAAACTTTGTAGTCGAGCCGTAACTGTTGCTTGTTTATGTTGTAACTGTATGATTAGGCATTCCGCCTTCCAAAAAAAACCCCCTCTCCCAAATTCTTTTTTTAAGCTCAAACTTTAACACAGAATTTATTCTGTTTTTCTTATTGAATTTATTCCCGACGTTTCATATTAATATGTATAACTTAATCTTAAATTAGTGAGAAACTACAAACACTAATTGAGAGCGTATTATTATTAGCATAATTGTTGGATATGTATGTTATTATTACGTATCGATATGGTAATGTCAACCAACTATCCACCCCATCGTTATCTTTCCCGTATCTGCATCATTACCAATAAGAAAAGCCTTTCTTATGCAACTAGTCCAGTTACCAACGAACGCAACGCAACGCATGCGTGGTAAACCCTGGACTCGAATATGACACCAAGATTTTTTCAAAGGTGAGAATATCTTTAGATATTCCCAAAGTTTTTCGTTTTCGTTTTTCTTCCAATTGTCGTTAACGGCACCACCAATTATAGCAACGCGGTCTCTTAAGCAAAACATTGCAGTGCCAACCCGTCGACCAGGACTTTGTTTCCGTCCGTCGGTGAAAACCCATTCAGGTGGAAGTCCTAGCGAATAAACTGTCGAAGAGAGATACCTTAACCATTTACTATTTTGTATATCATATGCCCACATATTGCTATCAGCATGTATCTCGTCTCGTTTTGAGACGATCTGCTGGCCTCCATAGATATAAAGCTTACCACGGGCTTTTAACGTGCAATGCAAGGATCTTGCATATGGAAGATTGAGCATTTGATTATGAAGCGCCCAGACTTTGTTTGTAATGTCGTACGTTGCAAAGTCTTTACTACTGTACGGACCATCTGTAACATGAATAAAGTAAAATTATGTCAGTTTTTTGATCTTTCAAAATTGAATATGTCGAAAATCATCGTCATTGATATTACCGTCAGTCACACATTGACCGCCGTAGATCGCTAGGCGGTTATGATCGATTGCACTAAGCGTATGCATCGAACGAGGGGAAGGAATCGTTCCGTTCTGCGCTAGAATATGCAGTTGCATATCACGTACGTCAAACTCGTACAAAATGTTTGTTGGTTTTCCGGTGAGCAGATCTGTGCCACCATGGATATATATTTTGTTCAGAATCGATGACGTTGCCGGATGTTTGACAGGTCGATATGAATCGCATACTTTCACAGAAACGCAGACCCATTTAGGGATTTTCTCATCTAAATCTATATTCCAAGCTGTTGGATTTTCGGTAGAAAGAACGAGTATGTATAATGTTGATCCAATCAAAACGGCGTTACGATAGTACAGTCCGATCTCTGCAACTCTGTCTTCGGGAATATTATATGATAAACCATGCCACTTTGGGAGAATTAAACCGAACCGCTTGGAACTGACGATTCGATAAAGTGAGTTGCACGTGAGAGAAAACGTAATCAGATCTGATGTATCCAGAAAGTCGAGAATGATTTCGATCACCTCAGTCGATATTTCAAAGAGTCTAACCATGTTTGTTGGGGAAAAAAGGGGTTGAACGGTTGTTCTTTCTCTAACGAGTGGGAATAAATGAATGTTTTTCAAAAGCTTGGAGAGTTTGTGGGAACAGTTATTATAGCTAATTTGCTTTAGGGTGAAGCAAGTAACTATATTTATAAGACATTGTTCCACAAAAGTATAAAAAATATTAATATATTTGTACGCCAAGGGACAATGACGACTTTTTTTTTTCCATTCATGAACCGGATAAAACGTGTTTGAAGGCTATGGCAAGCTGACATAATCTGATAGTTTAATTAATTTATCGTCAGGTTTATCCAATTATGCTGTAATACGTTATACCCCCTGACAAAATTATAAGTACAGTCAACTCTCTTTATAACAACCACTTCGGGTAAAGCAAAATCGGTCGTTATAAACAGCGGTCGTTACAAACAGCGATCGTTATATGCCACATAGTAGTCATATAGAGACCGTAATATGTTACATGACATTTCGGTCGTTATAAATAGCGGAGTTAAATATTCAATAAAATTTTAAGAATATCACCATTATGCTAGCGATAACATTCTTTTAAGTGCTTAGCATGTTTATTAGAAAAGTGATTATTCATATGTATCTAACAGGACAGTAAAGATGGATTTGGGTAGAGGAACTTTTTTGCAGCTCTATTCTATATCGTGAATATAATCTTGAATTCTCGTTTGTTTTTTTGTCTTATTACGCTCAAAAGAAACTCTCTTAATGTAGTATCGAATTCCGAGTAAATCACATTATTATTATTATTTTGGATTTAATTAACCAGTCGATCGGATCGTTATATCCCAAAATCCTATTACTAATTTTAATAGTGGTTGAAAATGGCAAAACACAGGTGGTCGTTGTAAGGCATCGGTTGTTATAAAAACGGTCGTTATAAAGAGAGTTGACTGTACAAACGGCATCTTCTTCACAATCACATCATAGTTTACTCAGAAATCCACATAATAAAAATCAGTATAATTTACATTGTTCGACTCGCCAAGAAATGCTCTTTTTGCAAAGCGTGGTATGCCAAAGTTATGTGTACAACGTAAGATTTGACTATTAAAACATATTTTTTTTTAAACCACATGTACACAAACAATGTCTTAGTAGCCGCCATTAAAATTTATATCATTTTGAAGCGAAATGTTAAGTTATATGAAACCAATAAATTTTAGGAGCGTCGTAAACCCCTGACAAAATTCTCAACCGATCTGATGTCGCCTGATTGTGCTTTGCATCGACATCTTTTTCAACAATTAAAACTTCCTTAAAATTTTTTTTCTTTTGTAGCGCTAAATATAAACTTTCAGAAAAAACTTTTAAACCAATTGAAAATATTGTCTGAAATGCCACGAGCCGATAATCAGGAATTTACCTGCCAGGTCGCACAACCAGACACAGTCGTACCTCGTTTATATCCCCACTTTGGGACAGAGCTTCTTCGGGGATATATTCGAGGTGGGATACAACTGAGATATATATGTGTGTGCAACGTTATTTAAAGCATGCAATTTTATTGGTTAATAGACCTTGCGAAGATTCTCTTATATGTTTATTTTACGTGATTATGTGGCCTGCTTGATTTATGTGGCCTGATTTGTGGCCTAAATTTATTAATATTCAATTGGTAGTACAATCCTGCTACAGATTCTATAAATAGAAATGACATAAACGAGGCGCGATCATAATAGATTATTATAGGGCATGGGATATAATTTTGTGGATACGATATATCTGAGTGGGATACAATTTATACTGATATACAATAAGAGATACAATAGGGGGGATACAAATGAGGTGGATTTATACTGATATACAATAAGGGAACTGAAAAGCTGGGATATAGCCGAGGGATTACAATAGGGGTGGGATACAAATGAGGTACCACTTCGTGTAAAGCAAAATCGGTCGTTATAAACAGCGGTCGTTATATGCCGCATAGTAGTCATATAGAGACCGTAATATGTTACATGACATTTCGGTCGTTATAAATAGCGGAGTTAAATATTCAATAAAATTTTAAGAATATCACCATTATGCTAGCGATAACATTCTTTTAAGTGCTTAGCATGTTTATTAGAAAAGTGATTATTCATATGTATCTAACAGGACAGTAAAGATGGATTTGGGTAGAGGAACTTTTTTGCAGCTCTATTCTATATCGTGAATATAATCTTGAATTCTCGTTTGTTTTTTTGTCTTATTACGCTCAAAAGAAACTCTCTTAATGTAGTATCGAATTCCGAGTAAATCACATTATTATTATTTTGGATTTAATTAACCAGTCGATTGTTACGGAATTGGGATTATCACATTTGGATGATGCCAACACAATACATATGTGATAAAATGGAAGCAAATAGTGACAATATGGGCCGTAACATTTACATTGTTCGACTCGCCAAGAAAGTTATACGTACAACGTAAGATTTGACTATTAAGACTTTTTTTTTTAAACCACATGTACACAAACAATTTCTAGTAACCGTCATTAAAAATTATATTATTTTGAAGCAAAATGACTGTACTTTAAGCCAATAAATTTTAGAATCGTCGTAAGCCCCTGACAAAAATTCTCAACAATTTGATGTCGATCGCCTGATTGTGCTTTTAACCCTTAAAATTTTTCTGCCAGGTCGCACAACACCCCTATTTATGGAGAGTGGGCACCTGAGCGTCCAATGAAAGGAATAATATTTGTACGACCTGGAATGTTGTGGCTGATTGTTTTGAACGTGGATTTAGCCGCTATAATCAAACGTTCAAGAGGGAGCTATTCAAGATGTAATTGAACGATATATGGATGGCGGGTGCATTACAGCAACACATCGGTCTGGTAGGTCATGCAAACTGAGTAAAAGAGACGCTCAAGCCGTTATCTTACTATTTCAGTAAGTTCAAAAGAACGGGTACAGCATACTTTGCATAATTATGGGTTTTATAGTAGAGTTGCAAAAAAGTCATTAGTAACTGAGAAAAATAAGAAGATATGTTTAGAATGGTATAAGAGGATGAGGAATTGGGGGATAGGGTAGTTACGATGGACCAAGATATCTAATATTTAAGAATGATGCTCACAAGCTTGTCTGGGGGAGGTGTGATGAAAAATATAAGCAAGACCAACTGGAAAGAACTCTGATGGTGTAGAGATGTTTTGTAAAGACAGGATGAGGCCGCTGATTTTAGTGGACGGGAATATTAATGCGGCCAAGTATATACAAATATTTATTGCCGTATCTACAAGAGCTTGGCATAGAAAACTATATCTTTCAAGATGGTAATGCCCCCTGCCACACAGCGAAGTCAACAGTTAAACGGAAAGAGTCAAAATTAATTGATTCGCTTGAGTGGCCTTCCTAGAGTTCTGATCTTAATCCGATAGAGCATTTGTGGGATGAATTAGAAGAGATAAAGTAAAACCAAAAAATAAAGCGGAACTGTTTGCTGCGCTGAGAGAGAGTGGGGTCAAATACATAATAATGTGATCAACAATTTAGTGAATAGTATGCTCGAAGAGTTAAAGCTGTGTTGGATGCAAAAGGGGATGCCACACCCTATTAATCACATTATTAAAAAGAGCATTTCTTGGCGAATCGAACGATGTAAAAGGCGTAACGCCGCAACGCCGCAAAAACGACCGACCCGACGACTCACGCGAACGCGTAAGGGTGGGCCGGCCACCCCCAAACGCAAGTAAGTGTTTGCTCGATCGGCCGCTTCCACTCTTTAGTAGCTCCTTATTTCCAAAGCTCGATGTTCTATAAGATACGGTAGTGTACAGCTCATTTCCATTTCCATTTCCAGTCCCATTTCCAGTCCCATTTCCATTTCCCCCAGCGCAAGCGCCATAAACCTCAGATTCGAGGGGGCTCGCTCTAATCATTCTGCTTCTTCTAATCGTTCTGCTGTTCTTCTTATTTTCTCTTTGTTCGTTATTCTTGATTTCAGTTAGTAGTGCGCGCACCTAACGAATAAGATTGGTTTTCTTTATCATCTTGATGGTATTCTTTGTCGTAATAAACTAAGGCTACGGCTGCCTACCTTGGACAACAGCATCAAGTGGGCATCGGCGAACCGCTTTCATTATACTGATTTTTAGTATGTGGATTTCTGAGTAAAGATTTCGAATGACCGCCGTTTGTACACTTGCCGGTCAAAACTCTCCTCATTTTTTTACTCGTATAGTTCCTAAATACAAAGAAAGTTACGGAAATGAGTGTGAGCAAAAGAGTATAAACCAGCCACTCTCGAACAAATAGAATTATCCAAAAAAGTTTTACAACCCACCGCAGATAATATTATTGCTGAAAGAGGTAAAGTGATTGCGAGATTACACAATGAAATAGCTTTCGGATACACTGCTATCGAACCAAAGCAACGTGTTTCAAATGACAAATTCTTAACACTGAACCCTCAATTTGGAAAGAATTTGGCGAAGTATTACAAGAACTCGTGCAGATTAAATGGAAGAAGAAATTAATTGCCACGATTTTTATATTTCCCTGCAAGTAGGAAAAGAAAACAAGTTCTGAAATAGATCAGGTTGAAAAGAGGATAATATATGTTTTGTGCTGTTTCCCAAATTCACTTTGCAAAAATGATGAGGCAAAAACCGCGGAAAAGGACGACCACTTAGTCAGAATCTTGGAGCAAATAGCAAAGGGGAATATTTTACAGAACCAAGAAATGTTTAAGTTGACTTCTTCAAATTAGCAGTGAGTTTCGGTTTCTTGGCAATTCAAAAAGCCCTCCACGCCATCAAAGATCTTGAGGCTCTATGGTCGCCAATTTTTAACACAATAATATATTGTCGAATTGTTGACAATTCGAACTAACTTTTTATGGGAATATAAATAGAATGTCTGGTAAAGTCTAGACTCTGGACTTTCACTTTTTACTGGCCAAGTTCTGGTGCAGTGGAATCCTACTGGTTATCTTATTTAATTGTTGATTCCGAATATTCAACTTGAAAAGGAAGTTCGTAATGCATGACGCAATTGAGTGTCGATGATCGTTCGATTTAAAGTTAGAAGTTTATGCACGTAATTTTGATCATGAGGTATGGCAAAATTCTGTCTTTCTATAGCCAGCGCCAAAGTCATGTGAATAGTGACGAATTATTATATTAAATATTATCGATTCCTATTACTATTCGATCATTTTATCCTCAAATGGATTTTGCTGAATGACTGGCTCAACCCGTCTGCAAAATCTTTACTACTTCGGTAACATTCTGGTCTTTGCTGGTACAAGAATTTTAAAACTGTATCGATTGATATTACTTATTGTTTCCAACTTTTCTACCGTTTCAGCTTCACCTTTGCTACTCACCGATTTACTACATCTTCATCATTTTGGCAAAAACATCCGAATAACGGCACAAAACATCGTATGATGTTTATCTACACTAAATTTGGCTATGGCCTGATTTTCTTTTTGTCGTACGATATTTTCGTTAATCACGTGTTGACGCTGTTTGTGTGACAGTTCACGTAATATTTTCGATTTGGGCTTGGAAAAATAAATCTGTACCAAATTTTTACTGCGCCACACACCGTTTATTTCGTCTTAAATAGAGGAAAACAAGGACAGAAATGGTCTCTAAGGCCAAAAAAGCGTTTAGTCTGCATAGTAATAGAGGAAAAATATGGGTCGTACGCTATAGTGTGTGAACTGTGCAAGAAAAAGTGAAATTTACATCAATTGATAGACATCAAGACAGTACACTGCTCAAACGGCGACACTAATACTTTGCTCATAGCCCATCATTCATAATTAAACATCAGTAGTTTCAATAATTTGCATGTGTGGATATATTATATAGTCAAGCCTTATTAAGAGAAAGAACTATATCGAACGCTAGTTTTACAAACATTCCAGTAGAAAACAGACTACTTGCTTTAATAATATTTCTATCTGGAGATGTTAAACAGTCAATGCGGTATAAATATGTAAAATGGACGCTCTTTCATCATTGTGACTGGAATAATGCAGTAAACATCATATCTTTCCCAAGGAAATCACATTCAATGAGATCAATCCCATCTACCACAATATCAGCTACATGCATTTACATACTTTTATTTGTTCTCTAGGTGGAGTAAAGAAATTATGAACTTGACTGTTTAACATGAGAATAAACACAATTACCAATTATTATGAACAAGACAAAAATTTCTCCTGTAATTAGAAAATTATCCTCAATGTCGAAGTTAGTGTGTACATATATATTTAACAAGTGTCGGCATTAAGCAAATGCTTTCCCATTGTCTTCGATCAGCGCAAGAGAACTATCTCTGATGAGAGTTAAAAGTAGAGTCATCTTCTTTGACGCTTGGAAATGTTCGTAGAACTTGAGCTCTGCGTCAGCAACAACGTTCGCGAGATTGAGACTTTTTGCGAGATTCCTATGAACAAAACTGTATAAGCAACGTTATATCTGCTACTTGTGTGCTCTCAAATTCATTCACATACCCTCCCGTAATTTGTCGAGTCTCGTATAGCACGTTATGCATTCTGATTACAAGTTCAGGAATATAAATATATCGGACATCATTTAATTCATTCTCTCTGTCCAGTTCTTGCATTAATATCTCTGCTATTGGATCTGTATTAACAAAAAGTCGTTTAACGTTGGCATAAACATGTCAATTGTTATAACTATGATATTGTAACTATATCCGATTACTTGCCCGTTTCCATGCTGTCTATCACATCCGTTAGAGTTTTCTGTGGGTTCTTCTGTCCCCATACAGAGTACATTATCCTCCTAAAGTATTTCTCTACCTCTGCTGTCTCGTGCTTCAAAGGCAAATATTGTGTTAATATATGACTATGATTCAACTCCTTGTAGTCATAAATTGTATTACCTCAATAGTCAATTTCCATTCCCCTGCTTCCTGTTGATAGCTCTGCCTATTCAGGTTAAATCATGCTTTAGCGTTAATAGTTCGTTCTATTTTTACATAAAAAAATATAAACATGATCAACATTCCAATTCCATCAACTTACCCTGTAGTTGGCCTGCGTGTCCATGTGTCATACCACTTGTCATATGCTTCGAAGAACTCCAGTAGACTGCTATATCCCGCAAATTCATAATACGGTGTGCGCTCTTGTAACTGGCTCTCCGACGCCATCACCATAGGACTATATTGAGGATGCTTTTGGAGAAATCGCATGAGTTCTTTGAAAGCATTGAGCCTTCCAAAGACTGTATGTGAAACGTGAGAGAAATGAGAAGACAGTCATATCACAGTGCACGTTGAACTGCTAATATATGTGTTTACGTACGCAGGAACCGCCTACATAACGCATTGGCAAATATCATTCCTTCCATTAGTTGTTCAGGTTCAACAGTGAGCCAGTCAAGTGATACTATTAGGAAGTGGTCGTCTGGCGTGATTGGTTCACCAAGTTCAGATAAATGAACTTGTTCCACTTGGGGCATTTCTTCCTATAAATAAGGAATCAGTATTATAGTAATAACAGGCTATGCATATATACATAGTTGTAAATAATTCTGTGAAACAATTACCTTTGCCTGTGCTTCTTCAAATATCATTTGTACTGTTCTTCTTGCTATTCGAGTCATTGGTAAACCGTATGGTTCGGTCAATAAACTGAGGTAGCGGACTCTGACGTATCTCTCAACATCGGCATTGAATCCTGTTGAGATAACGAAAATACTTCTAATATTAGCTTGTTAACATTCCCGTTGCTATTCACAAGTATGAACGAGCTCGCAATAACTTGACTTTTAATACAATAACAAACGCACTTGATAGGAAATATGCATATAAATCAATTATTTCGCTCTCATCATCTATCATTGAAGTATATAACGCGATTATATCATTCTACGAAGAAATAAATAAGAAGAAAAGTATACATCAGTACAAATATTTAAGACAGTTAAGTAAAACGCCAACAGTTCCTTACTCTTTGAAGCGTGATTAGGAATTTGACGTAATCCTTTAGTATGAGTTTCGTCTGCTCTTTATCGGCATCGGCTCTAAGTTTCTTCAAATATAGTACGTAATGCGTGGTAAAGCGCAATAGATGTTGGAATTTAAGAGGACTGTCGACGAGATTGATATTATTCGAACAATAGTCAGTTGAACGAGTTATTGATAATAATTAACGTAATAAATATGCAAAGAATAACATACTCTTCTTTCTTCTTAAGTTCCTCTAGTTCGTTACATAAGTATTCAACTGCGTCTTTGCTTTTATTGAGTATTAACAGTTTTTGTACTTCTTGGAATGTGACCTGGTCAGGATCACTAAGTTGAAAAATGCTCTTGAGTATCGGATAAAATACGAAAACAGTAAAGTACAAGAGAGTAAATACCGTATAGTCGACAAAGACTGGATTTTGGTAAATAAGTTCTCGATCAAAGGAAATATGACAGACGGTTCATGTATTTTCTGAGTATCTCCATTGGTATCAAGAGGTTCATCATCTATTTCTTGAACATTCTTACGAGCAGATCTCAAGTGCTAAAAAAACGTGACCCAAAATTTCTGTTAGTTTGTATATTATACGAGTAGATATAATAATAAAAGCAATGCGATTATGCAGATATACTGTACCTGTTCTAGTTTATCTTCAACAATCGCATTATAAAACACCCATACATAATCTTCCCACGTATTGCACACTCTCATAGTCTACAAGAATCCAACCGGTAATCAATAAAAACGCGATGATGCTCCCATAAATTCTAAAAACCATTTACATTGTCCAAGTCACCACAAAGCGCGCCGTAAGCAGCTCTCTCATAGTGGTCGAGTCTATTCTAAGAATAAGAGTCGTATTTGGCATATAGTTAATACATGCGGAAGAGCACTGGTTACAGATTACGTAAAATAATGTTTTCTCACATCAGCTGCAAGCTTGAAACAGACTGAACGCCATAGAGATCTATTGACAGCGCCGATCTTCCTTTCATCCTCGTTAGGAAGCACGTCAAATCCATCAACTTCGCTATCAACGCTATCCATAGCCTGTAAGTCGTTCTCTGAACATGGATTTGTGAATATACAGTAGTAAGTTAGTGATGCGCAACGCAACGCAACAAGGTTTTGCTTCGTCCTTAAGCTTAATTCTCAGCATTCTTACCTGTAATAGAATCATCATATAAATTACATCCTCCTATACTAGCAGCTCGCCAATAATGTCCACTTTTCTCACACAAATCCGAGGCAAAGTGTCCTTGACCTCTTCTAATGTATTCAAATACAGATTTCACTAGTGCTCGATCATATTCCTACAGAAAAGAAAGCAAAATAAATAATCATATATATCGTAATGTAAAAACCTCACAAGTCGCTTGACTCACATCATCAGGATCTGCTAGCGGTTGGCTAAGACGTATAGGTCCATCAGGATCAAGTTCCAAGGGACCACTACTTTGTTGTGCTTGTTCTAGCGTATTAGGTAGGTAATTAGGTGTTACTTCCACTGGTTCAAACTCAGGTGCTATTTCCTGTAACCATAGCCTTACAATCTACAATTGGAAGCATCGACAATGATGAAACGAGAAATAGAAGAATAAGCAATGAGCGATACACAAAATATGAGAAACAATAATCCAGTAATTTGACAATTGTAGAAGGACATATTACGCAAATCAAGGACAGTTACAGATGATAGCATTATACTCACGTATGCCTCGGCAAATTCTGGTTCTGTGACTAAAAGTTCTTTGAACAACTCTGCGTCGCTCGCATATTCTCGCTCCAGGTCATTTAAATCGAGTTGTTGATCTGATCTATCTCGAATCCTGCAAGAATAATTATATGAAGAGTCGCTAATGTAGCTCGCCAGAGAATCAATAATGCTGTACAATGTAAAACCAGCAATAATTCGTACATTTTTAACAGCCGAATCAATTTCCAAGTGTTCCTCTCGGATTCCCATAGTTTTGTTACTCGCATATTCGTTCCAAAGAACCCCTTCCCTTCTTCCTGGTATAACTTAAACCTATTCCATTAGTAACTAATTTGAATATTCACATTATAGCCTAATATCGTCTGTTTTTCACAAAAAGATGTCAATTCTCACGCGCCTCATGTAGCTTACCATCGGTCAGAGATCTTCTCGTAATGTAAGACAACACTACAGATTATATTATCCAACTCTTCATCGTCTACTTCCCGTTTAAGATTACTAGTAGGCTCGGCAAATCGATCAAACGATTCATTAATGTCGCTAATTTCTTCTGCAATGGACGTGAATGTTGTGGGTTGTGAGTGAAAGGTCAGAGATTTGCATTCTTAAACAACCATTGAACTCGTACCTTCAATATCATCTTGAATGATAGATTCTGGCTGTATGAGTTATGACAATAGACAAATAAAAAAAGACATAATTAAGTATCATCAGCTGCCGCAATGACAATAATGGGTATTCCAATTCACAATTTGCAATCCTTTCTTCAGGAAAAAACGCGCGACAATCACTCTGTTATACTCACATAGTCAGTCCTAGCACCTCCAGACGCGAAGATCGCTGGCGTCGGCGCAGATCTCATAAAGGACGTCACCGGCGTCATATAGAATGACCGATCTGCTGTAATCGGCGTAATCATTCTTGCGTGAGGCAGTAATGGGAGAGGAGTGCCTATATCCATGTCAAATAACGGCCTGATCTTTTCAAAAGTCAGTGGGTAGTAGTAGTGTTTGCTACCGAAATTTTATCACACACTTCGTATAAGATTCCCAACCGATATTGTACTACAGAGTAGTCTAATGACGTAACAAACATAAAAAATTACCGAGATCGGATAGAAGGAAATCCTTCTCGAATTATTCACATCCCTTTTCTTAGTTATAAAGCATCATGGGTAAGTAAAACGTTATCTGGTGGTTTAAACTCGAGAAGAAGAGTTTATCTTCTTGTAGACCTTAAATGGATGGATACATAGCGAATGGATCAACAAGAATTCATTGCTGAACAAACTGCTGTTTGCAACAAGTGTGAAGAGTGATCTGGAGATGCATTCATTTTCTATTCTTTAAAATTATAGGTAAGGGGAAGCCAAGAGGATTGCAGAGTGCCCGTAAGCTACGTACGCATCGTCGTAATTCACGCTGGGCTGACAAGCAATATAAGAAAAGGGCCTTGGGTACTGCATACAAATCATCTCCATTTGGTGGATCATCTCACGCCAAGGGCATTGTTCTCGAAAAGATGTAAGTATTCCTATTTTACGATGAAGGAAACGACAATTAAGAGATAACGATTTGTATGTGAAAGTTTCTACCGATGAGTCGATGAAACACATTTTGATTTGGCCGAGTCAATAACAAAGAACGATGCTATTTTACGATGAAGAGATCGTGCAGGCGCTGTGTTCAGCATTAACGAATTTTTGTTTATTCCTTATACCTTTAATCCTAATACGACAGCGGTGTCGAAGCCAAACAACCCAACTCTGCCATTCGAAAATGTGTTCGTGTTCAATTAATCAAGAATGGCAAAAAAGTCACAGCCTTCGTGCCCAATGACGGTTGCTTGAATTACGTCGAAGAAAACGATGAAGTGCTTATTGCTGGATTCGGTCGAAAAGGCCGCGCTGTAAGTATTAGTGAAAGATAGGAGATGTAAAGGCGCGAGGATTTTTGCGATCGTGTTGCGAAACACAGAGGCTTAAAAAGAAGCTTTGGTATGAATGAGATAACGAGCTGTTGGTTTTATGTACATCTAGGTCGGTGATATTCCCGGTGTCCGATTTAAGGTTGTCAAAGTTTCTGGAGTTTCCCTACTTGCTTTGTAAGTATAAGATGACCCAAACTCCTGAACTTTGCGTGTATTGTCAATATTTATTGATTCGTTACAAACCGGCACATTCTTTCTGTAGATATAAAGAGAAAAAGGAAAAGCCGCGAGCTTAAATATATTATCTTATTTTCTGTTACTCGATTCTCTCTTTTTATTCGAATGCGTGCTAAATAATATATTTGATTCTACTTTTGAACGTATGAGAGTCTGCAACCCATTAACAATCAAAACGGTTTGACAACGCAATCGTGAAAATGTGACTCGGAACCGTTGTTATACTAAAGCTGTTCATTTATTGACATGATTCGGTAAATTTGAGAGATATTGGAATAGAAGCGGTCCTTATGATCAACCACCTTGCTGCTGTTTATGTATTGAGTGTGAACTGGGGAGGGGAACCAAATCACAAGAAACTACACATCACAGTTTGAACGCTTTATCCATTGCAATTTGTGGATATCGTTCGACCTATGAAGGCCATTAGTATAAGCTAGAGAGAATGGCGTCTAGGAGAATAGATGTTTTGGACCATATCTTCCTAGATAAGATTACTCCGCCATGAAATAAAATCGTCATCGCAGTTTTTGCTGTGGGTATAGTTTTATCCAGAATTATAAATATGAGTTATTAGAATATGGTTGATAGCTCAATGCTATTTGCTATTGATTCTCTCCACAATAATAATGGTCAATTTGATGGGTTGTTGATTATAGGAAAGAGACTTCGACTCTTATTTATACACACGGGAATTTGCCAGAATTGAATAGAAGATTACGGAAATCGTTTGATAATAAAGCGTATGCGCTGCCTCACTTATAAAATCAAATTTGAATCATTTATTAAATAATCTTGGAAATTCAACTAGGCTGTTGAAGATCTGTCATAAATCCTGTATTATTCTATTAAGCTATTAAAATTCTGTTATTATAACCAAAATTACTCGAAAATAATTGAAGGCGTGCTTAATGTGAATCTTTGCACAATAGGCAAAGTATGTCTGTATTCTATGCAATAGGAGAAACTCTGCTAAATGTATGATGGATAGATTAGTATCGTACTCACATCCTGATCACCTCTAAATCGAAATGCAATACACAACGTAACTATATTCATGATGATATGCACTCTATATTATGTGTTCTCTATTTGATTCTGAGGATCATCCTCTTCTGTTATTATAGATTTTGATCTGTCTTTGGCTGAGACGAACCTTGGATTAACCAACATCCTGGCAATATCTATGGCATCATACTTCTTGACGGTTTCATTCTCTTCCCAATAACATTTGTGGCATATAACAGGGCCTGTAACAGTAAAGCCAACTACTCTGGCTGTTTGGGAGCTCTTTGAAACTGGGGGAGGCGTATCATTAGCTGGCCACCATTTCGGTGATATAGAAGTGGAACATCTCGTACATGAAATCTTCTTGAACGGAATCATGCGAGGATATTGTGGAAATCTGCTTGCTACTGGAGGCCATTCTATTGAAGTCGTGGAATCATGTCGCGATGCTGATTTTGACGGTAACGTTAAGGGTGGCAACGAGGGTGACGATGAGGGTGATGATGATTGTGATTGTGATGGTGATTGTGATGGCGATTGTGCTTGTGATTGTGATTGCGATTGCGATCGTGATAGCGAAGGCGAAGATACTACTGGCAATGGTGATGATGGCTGGAACGGTGATGATGATGCTGATACTGACCTTGATGTCGAAGCTGACGATGACGTTAAATATGAAGGGGGCGGAGGTGGTGGAGGGGGCGGTGGTGAAGAAGAGTCTGAACATGCCTCAATCGTAGACGGACTATCGTGATTATCATTGGCTTCTTCGTTCGGTGGTTGTGGCGGCGAGGGTAAGAGGGCAATTGTCGTATTGTACGGATTGTCAATCACCTCTGGAGAAGGCAATGTTGAATCTCCAACTTGAGGTTGAGGCTGAGACGCTACCGGATCGGAATCTTTCGTGTACGAAATCGGTGTAGAATATTTCATCAATTCCGGATCCCAAAATGGAGTAAGATAATAGCGCCGCTTTCTTTTCTGTTCAATTGTTGTAAAGTCCAGTTGCTTCCATACACGTGCATAACAGTACGTTGCAGACTGAAGATATCATGAACACATGAAATTAAAAACAACCATAACAAAAAGGAATTGATGGTAAAGCCAATTCACATATTGGAATGGCTGCATACATACATCTTGCTGTGTCAAATCACGGGCTCCGAGTTTTACAAAGTTGGGAGGTAAATTTACGTGAAATGGGCACCATACTCTGGCAATCATTTGTCCATCCATGTTGTTTCCGAATTCATGTCTTGGAGGATCTGTGCTGGATCTGGGGAGTACCTCAAATCCCATTTTATAGCCTGCTGTTTGAGCACATGTCGCATGGAATGCTCTGTGGCATTCATCATAACCTGAGCACTTTACGGACGCACCACCACGCGTTCGACATATATCACAAACCTTTGGAATAGAAAAAAAAATTAGTTTAACGGAATTATGGTATAAGTTCCTAGCGTATCTTGTGTTAAATGCTAATCTTACTGTGCGCCAACATTCTTGGGGAATTTCATGGATATCTTCTATAAAGTCTACTCCGTCTGAATCACGAAAGGATGGACCATCTACAAAAATAGCACAGAGAACGTGGGCCCAATTGTATCCTGAAGTGCGCTTCAGTGAATTGTTTTTGCCTTCTTCTTGCGTGCAAAGGCAACACGTATTAATCTAAACAGAACAGGATTTATTTAGTCATTCATTCGTCGTATCAGCATTATGAATTGTATTAAAATACCTTGATCATTTTATACGGTCTTTTGCCTTTGCTTCCCTTTGATTTCTTGTTGTCACAGGGATCACAAAACCACATCCTCGGCGGTTTATCATAATTGACCTGACCATAACAATCTGCTCCAGAAAACAAATTAGACTATAACAAAGAAAGGTATAAACTTATTCGCCATCAATTATTGGTACAAACCTGTATGAACACACATGCGACACCCTCGACAGATCATAAGCCTGCGCAACGGTTCTTTCTCCCTACATATAGAACATGGGGTTCTAATTGGTGGTAAACCAGGACATGACAGTCGAGGAGTTACAAATGAAGTTGTCAACTGCTCGGACTCTGAGAAATCAGACCCTGACTCTGAGGTGTCTGAGATAAGGTTCTCTAGTTTTCTTTGTGAGGTCGAAGTATGAAAGCGTGTTTTTCTCGTCGAAAAATGTCGTGACATGGGAAAATACAGTCAACAATGGAGCGAAATGAAGTCTGACTAAATTTAAACGTAGTACCGATCATGTGATTGATATAATTAACTTTTTTAATATAACCATTGAGAAAGGTTGAATATAATTGGCTATCACAGTGGCTAACTATTATTGAATATCTTTTTCTCATAAGACACCTGACGCGTCTTAACACGTTCAAAGACACGTTTATTAGGTATTCATAGCCTCATCGCTTAGTTATAAAGTGTATAAAGTGCTTGTAAATTGTGTTTTGCGCTTTATGTGTTTATATATTATAACACAGATATTAGTTAAAACTTATGTTGCTTTCTGCTTCCAAAGCATCT